TAGTTTTTATTCTCATATATTTTTAAGCATGTATTTATTGAACTCTTGCCAGGCTCTGAACAAGGCTCTGAGATAAAATGGTTAGTCAAAATAGCCATGGTTCCTGCCCATGTGGAACTAGCTGTTGGAGAAACATCTAAACTGAGTTAAACTGAGTTAAAAATCATACAACTGTAACAGTGGGCTTGTTTYGTAGCTGGTGTTTTGAGAGATTGTCACTGGAGATTTGAAACTCATCAGGGAAAGCATTCTTGATGAAGCAACCTGTGGACTGATTGCTGAAGGACAAGTAGACATTAACCAGGTGAGGAGGCAGGAAAGCAGTCTAGGCAGAGGCAATAAGGTGCCAAAGTCTGTGGCGAAGGTTGAAAGCAGCCCAGGAGAGCTACAGAAGGGACAGACCACCAAGAAGGACAGAATTGAAAGGAAAAGGGTCAAGTAAAGTAGGGAGCAAACCATGGGGAGAGGAAGGTCTACTGGAGTGTCAGCAGGGATTTAATTCACCATGACAAGGTGACAAGGTCCTTTCGGATGATAAAACAAAAATAATAATGTTTCATGATTTTACTCTGGCCATTAATAACATTCCACTTTATTATTCTAGTGGTTTTTATTTCTCTTGTACTTTTCCGTATTGTTTACATTGCTGACGATGAGGGTTAATGATTTTCCACAAAAACAAAGACTCTTTTCTGAATCAACTTCATGAAGACATTTTTTTTTTATCTACAATAAAATGCACCAGTTTTAAGTGTACATCTCTCTGAATTTTGACAAATCACACCCATGGAACTACCACCAGATGTAGACGGTTTATCACCTTGAAAAGTCCTCTCCCAGTTAACTCCCCACCCAGCCCAACCAACAATTGATCTACTTTCTGCAACACTGTATTAGATTTGCTCTGGCTTCATGTGAATGAACTAATATGCTAAGAACTCTTTGGCACCTGGCTCCTTTTGCTCACCATGTCTTTGAGATTTATAATTCCTTTGCATGTATCAGTAGTTTTCCTTTTTGTTGCTTAAAAAAATCTATTTTATGGAGATTCTGAAATTGCTCACCTATTGATAAACATTTAGGTTATTCCCTGTTTGGAATAAAGCTGCTATGAGTGGTATAGAAGTAGAAATTCTGGATCCTAGCTTAAGTTTATATTTAACTTTTTTAAACAATGCTTTTTAATTGTCAATGGAGTTTTATTTATTTATATGCAGTGCTAAGAATTGAACCCAGTGCCTCCCACATGCTAGGCAAGTGCTCTACCACTGAGCCACAAACCCAGCCCCTTATGTTTAACATTATACAAAATTTCCAACCTGTTTCCAAAGTAGACATTGTCACCATGGTCTGTAAAAGTTCCATTTGCTCCGCATTTTTCCAAAACTGAATAGTTTCATTTTAGCTGTACTAGAGGGTATATAGTGGTCTCAAGTTGWGGTATTTTGGTTTTGTTTTGTTTTTTGAGATAGAGTCTCACCACATTGTCAGGGCTGGTCTTTAATTCCTGGGCTCAAGTGATCCCCCTGCCTCAGTCTCTTGAGTAACTGGGACCACAGGATCAAGCCACTCATCCCAACTTTCACTGTGGTTTTAGTTTGCTTCCCTTGATGACTAATGGCATTAAGCATCTTTTCCCTGTTCATTATTCATCTGTATATCTGCTTTAGTAAAGTGTCCAAATCTTTTGCTCATTTTTAAAATTAGGTTGATGGTCTTCTTACTATTGAGTCATAAGATCATTGTAGATATTCTGGATACAAGTCCTTAGAGATTAATGTGATATATATTGTCTCCTATTCTGTGGCTTGCCTTTTGAGAGGTTTTATTTTTTGTTTGTTTGGGGTTTTTTATAGCTTTATTGAAATATAATTCAGATGCCCCATTTGAGTTCTTTCCCCTCCCCCACCATTTAGTAGATGGGATTGAATTTAGGGGCACTTTACCACTGCACTGCATCACCAGATCTCTTTATTTTTTATTTTGAGACAGACTTAGTTGCTCAGTCTGACCATCCTCCTGCCTCAGCCTCCCAAGTGTCGGGGAACACAGGCGTGTGCCGCCATACTTGGGCCCATTTCAGTTCTTAATGGTGTCATTTTAAGAGTAAAATTTTTGGGTTTGCCTGTTGTTGTTGTTTCAGTCCTGTTTTTGTTTGTTTGTTTTGAAACAGATTCTCACTATGTTGCCCAGATTGGCCTGCAACTGTGAGCTTGAGAGATCCCTGCACCTCAGCATCCCCAATGCTCAGACTATAGGCGTGGGCCCCCTCACTGGGCTAAAAGTAGAATATTTAAATTTCAGTGACTTCTAAATCACCCATTTAGAATCTGTGTTCTAAACAATCTCTGCCTACTCCAAGAGTGGGAAGATTTTCTCCTATATTTGCTTCTAAAAGTATAGTTTTAACAAACATTAAGGTCTATGATCTGTTTCAATTTAATTTTTGTGTATGCAGTAAGAGTTGAGGTTCATAAAACCATTTTTTAAAAAGTTAATTTAATAAACAAATGCACAGTGAGGTGTAGTTTACAAGATCAGGCCATAGACCAAATCAGAAAGGGTCACTGATTTCCCAATGTCACATTGCTAAAGAGGTAATTGTTGTGTAAAAGTCAGATTTTAGGGCTTCTTGTGTAAGCGTATTCCAGGTAGTAGCATACATACTTCCTGTTATGTCCACTCCTGACTGTTCATTCCCACCACGTGGCTCTCATTAATACAAAAATGAATTRAAACAAAAGCAGTTCCAGGAGTGGGGGAGACCCTTAACAGGAAGAAATAAAAGAAAATGTGGAATCTTATCCTGCCCTCAGTAGACACAAGCCCCAGATGGCATAAGTAGCTGCGTCTCAGATTTCATAAGTAAGCCAAAGGTACCTTGGCCACAAAGACTTCCCTACTGACTTGCCCCCAGTGACCTCATCCTTCYGGTCCTCACCTCACTGTCTCCACCTCTCCACCGTTAGGAATCACACCTTGTGAGTAAAGCATTAACTGAAATTCCCCTTGAAGCTTGGGAGAGAGCGGATCTAGTTTCTTTATTAGATCTACCGACAGTTTCCTAGGAAAGGAGATTGGGGGTGGGGTGGGTCGAGGACAAGATATAGGGTTACCACATTGCAATTGGTTTTGCTGGCCTAAAAGTTGGCCTAATCACTGGTATTCTTTTTTTTTCCTAACTTCTTTTATTCATTTATTTTTTTATGTGGTACTGAGGATAGCCCTCATGTGTGCTAATCAAATGCTCTATCACTGAGCTATAACCCCAGCCCCACTGGTTTTCTTGAAAAAAAAAAAATTGAACACAGGTTCTAACAAAAGATAATTTTGTTACATAACAAAATTCTAATTTGTGAATTTTTACAAGAAAAAAAAAATGTTTAACAATGGCCCAGTACTGAATCATTTACCCCATTGTCTTTGTTCAAACCATCCAGAGTTTCCTACTGTAGGGGCAAAGGAGAGGGGGATCTTTTGCTTCCTATTGGGAAGGATCACGGCCAACACCCAACAAGAGACAGGTTAACACGAGAAAAAGATAACAAATGTATCATCGTTGCACGTGACATGGGAAACTTCAGGTTGAAGGTCCAAAGACTCAAGGTGAACTGTCCATTTTTATGCTTAGGTTCAATAAAGTGGGTACCGTCACACACAGATCTAATGAAACAAGAGTGTGATCTAGTATTAATGGTCTCGTGGGTGGGCAGTAAGGCCTGTCTGTTCAGGTTCTTCTTGGCCTGAGTAGTATCCTTCCTTCCAGTTATGGCAGGAGCCTGTCTGGCTTATATAAGTCTTATGACTTACAATCAGACAAGATCGGTCAGAGAATTTATGTAACTGTCTAGGAGGGCTGGGTTCATTGTCTCTGTTCAACTAAGAACAGAAGAACAGGACACAGAGATAGCAGGCATGCCGCGGGTTTATTGCAAAACCGAAAGATACACACTTCTCTGAAGAGAAGGGGCCCTGGAGCCAGGAATCTGGTGGGGGAGTTTTGGCCTGTCCTTTTTATAGTCTCTGGAATTTCCTCCTTTCTTTATCTCCTCCCCTGTCCTATTATTGACTGGGCCCCTCTTTCCACACATCTGTTTTAGTTTTTCTATTGGGTCCCCAGCTTAGGAGCACAAGTATGAAAGTGTCTGTCTGATTGGTTTCCTGGCTTGTGTCCACTTGACCTGTACTTTTGTCCAGCAGGAAGTTAACCTCATGAGAAGACCATGCTCTCTTCCTCTGGCCCTGCCCCTGACTCGCCATCTCACCCTGGCTGCCTGTGCCCTTCTACATTTCCCTCATTTGTTCTTATATCAAAATGTGGGGGAAAGCTGGAGTACTCTTTTGGGGTTTCATGGCTGACTTKGGGGGGAGGGGTCTTGATTTCTATGACCTGTCTTGAGGAAGATGAATTCTAGTTTCTGTGTCTGGCTTAAGAAAAGAAAGAAGGGTGAAAGATGGGAGGGGAAAGAGAGTGTCAGACAGAAACTTTGCTYCTGAGGACTTCACTTTGGAGTGTCATTTTCTGAGCCTGAAAACTGCATATCTGTATGCTATGCCCACCGAGCCCAAATGACAGGCAAAAGAGGGTGAAGACTAAGGAGAGCATCAGTGGGAACTTGAAGCAATGGGGACACCTGGGAACACAGAAATCATGAACCCAGGAGGGAGGTGGGCCCCTGTGCTCTTCAGGCTAGAGACCCAGAGAACAAATTAGGATGATGAGCAGACCCTTAAGAAAGAGTCTGCCATGGGGCAGCAAAGACACCTCCTTCTGGGTCATCAATACCTGACTCCTGTATTGGGCTGAGCCCTTTTGCTCAAGTTCCAGACAGCTGAAAAGATTAAGACATACATCACATAGAGAGAACAAATACATACAATTTATTCAATAAAATGAGGACCAAGTGTCCTTAACTCTGTAAAGTCAAGTTACACCATCAAAGCTGTTTGTTTAAAAGCAGAAGTCACACATGTTGACAACAGTTCTCGAAACAGCCAGAGTCTTTTTGGTCAATAGTATTGCTTCAGGAGAGACAGCATCTCACAGATCTGCCCTGTAACTCCCAGAAAAGTCAACCAGCCAGATTTAGGTTCAAACTTCTTTACAAAGCCATTTTCCTAGGAGAGAATAAAACATAACATTTTTAAAATTAGCAGAGGCTAAGTTTTAAAAAAAGCAAAGAAACTTTCATTTAAGTGATGCAAATAGCTACTCCGCTTTATACATTTTGCTCTGTCATTGTTCTCTACCTCTCTCAAGTAGCAATATACAATAGAAATATAGCCTTAGCCATATTTTGAATTCTTGTGGTTTTAATGTTTTTGCAGCCACATGTGAAAAAATAAAAAGAAATGGGGGAAAATAATTTTAAGATATGTTTAATATATTCAAAATATTATTTCAAAACAGTATAAATCATTAATGAATTTTTTTTCATAGCAAATATTCAAAGTCCTTCCACCTTAATTCAGACCAACCACATTGCAATTATTCAGCAGCCACATGTGACTGCACAGCAAGTCAGCACAGAAGCACAGCTCCAGAGGGAACAAATTCAGTTTTTTCTTTCTCTTTCAATTGCCTCGCATCGAAATATGTATTTATATTTATACACTATCATATTGAGAATTATGAGGACTCATGATAAACCTAAATTAAACCAGTGTTTTTGAGCCTACGAAAAGGCTGATGACTATTTCTATTGCAATTCATCCCCTTTTGAGACCAGACATAGTTTTTCAAAAAAATAGTATAACCCAATGAGCTGTATATTGTATTCAGTTAATTTATGAACTATGATTATAAAAAATCCTTATTGAAATTACTTCCAGCTTATGCCCTCTCTTATTTCAACAAATGAGAAAATTGAGGCCCAGAAAAATGTAAGCTATCTAAAATARCCCAACTCTGTAGGACCTGGATTGGAATGCAAATATTCTACTTCTTTCCACTCCCTGCATTTCCAAACAAGCACCAAAAGGATTAGAAAATTGTTAAAATGATTTTTTGAAAGGTTCATCTAGCAAATATTTGCCCTACATTTTGTAAGTTCCAGAATCTAGGGTTATAAATGCCCCCAAGGTAGTTCATAGCCTAGCATGACTAATGCTAAAAAGTGAGCCAAACATCTCTTTAACAGTCAGAAGAGATTGGAGAGTCCTGCAGTGCCCTGGAATCATCTTTGTAAGATTGCTGGCAGAGCAGATAGGCATCAGACAGGATTTTCCATCTGAAGGATTGCCTAAGGAAGCCAGCTCTGCCTATGTGCTAAGGGTAGTCTCATGCTCTGAGGCACATGCTTTCATGCTGTATATGTTAGGGCATGAAGAAACTGCTCCTCTCTTCTTCCTCTTCCCCTTCCACCATTACACACTCATATTTTCCCACACATTCTAGGTATGTAGACATTTCATTGCTCCCTTCCTAGAATTCCCCACATTTTGAAATTAGAAAAAGCCCACATCTGGCAAGTATAATAATCCCCTCTAAAATGACTTTTTTTWAAAAAAAAACTTTTTAGTTGTAGATGGATACATTACCTTTATTTTATTTATTTACTTTTATATGGTGTGGTGCTGAGGATTGAACCCAGTGCTTTACACGTGTTAGTCAAGTGCTCTACCACTGATCTACAACCCCAGCCCTAAAGTGACTTCAAACTAGTATAACAATGATTGTTGTCTATTTGATGGGGCAGGTAATATGTCACCTTTTATATGCATTGAACTTCTAAAGTAAAAAAAAGTGAACAGAGGAAAAATGGACAAATCCAGCCATGAAGATGAAACCATTTTTAATTTTTTTTTTTAGTTGTAGATGGGCACAATACCTTAATTGTATTAATTTTTATGTGGTGCTGAGGATCAAACCCAGTGCCTCATGCCTGCTAGGCAAGCGCTCTGCCACTGAGCCACAACTCCAGCCCCAAGATGAAACCATTTTTAAAACTATGAAAAACYAAAAGAACAACAGATTGAGAAAATATTTACATTTACTATGAAAGAGTTCATTCCAATGAAACAGAAAGTCATCAAACATAAGTCATTAACAAATCTATGAGGGAAGTTTGATATTACTAGCAATTAAAGAAATTCAATTTTACTACAATCTTATTATTTCTTAGATCTATTAAATTGGCTTTGTTTTAAGCCTATGAAATAAATTATTTTTTTAATAATACTGCCCAATGCTGATGTTGTTCCATTGGTACAATCCTTTTGGAAAGCAATATGTATCCAGTAGGTATGAGTAATGTAATGCTCGTATCTTATGAACCACTCACTCCACAGTGAGAAAGTTATCATTAAACAATGGTTCAAAATACTTGGGGGAGGGGAAAGGTAAACATACCCATGTTCACTATCAAATCATTATTTCTTTTTTTAAATATTTTTTTAGTTTTAGTTGGACACAATGACTTTATTTTATTTATTTTTATGTGGTGCTGAGGATAAATGAAACAGAAAGTCGTAAAACATAAGTCATCAAACAGCGTCTCGCATATGTTAGGCGAGCGCTCTACCACTGAGCCACAACCCCAGCCCCTCAAATCATTATTTCTTTTTTTTAATATTTATTTTTTAGGTTTACGTGGACACAATATCTTTATTTACRTTTATGTGGTTCTGAGGATTGAACCCAGTGCCTCATGCATACTAGGTGAGTACTCCACCACTGAGCTACAACCCCAGTCCCCAAATCATTATTTCTATAAGGAAAAACTGTTGGAAACAACCCAAATGTCCAAAAATTGGGAATTGTTTAAGTAAATCATGTCACATTAATGAAATGTTCTATAGACATTAGAAATGTTAACCTGAAATATGTGAGACAATGTTAAAAATATTTATAATATAAAGAGACTGCTCCATGTACAGCCAGAGGAATCAGAAGTTGTGCTCCATTTGTGTAATGTATGTCAAAATGCATTCTACTGTAAAATTAATTAGTTAATTAAAAAAAAGAAACTGCTGTGTATACCCTAATTATTTTTTTACATATAAATATCATATCCACATGTGGATATGTGATAGTAGTGGGGGGGATTTTTTTCCTCCTTAAAATATGCTTTTTAAAGATATTCTTTTCAGGGCTGGGGATGTGGCTCAAGCGGTAGCATGCTCGCCTGGCATAAGTGCGGCCCGAGTTCGATCCTCAGCACCACATACAAAGAYGTTGTGTCCGCCGAAATCTAAAAAATAATAAATATTTTCTAAAAATATTCTTTTCAAAAATATTTCCTTTAATGATGCAATTTGTATCTTAAGATCATTATATAAAAATATATGTATAAATAAGGATTCAGTATTATCCTAGTAAACAAGGAATGTCCAGGGAACATTTCTGGGAATAGTGATAGTTGGTTAAATTAAGCTATTCTGGTTTTAAGAAAACCTAAAGCATAAACTAATATATGAGACTGCTATAGTTTGAATGTCCCCTCCAAAACCCAGTTGAATTTCAATTGCCATTAAAATTATGTGATCTTAAGATCAACCTTGAAGAGTTGCTTAGGTCATGGGGGCCCCACCCTATATATTCCRGCTGTTATTGAAGAAGCATGTAGAATTATACAAGGGAGGAGGTTCAGCCTCTTTATTTTCCCTTTATGTGTCTGYCTTTCTGTCTGTCTGTCTCTCTCTGTCTCTTTCCATGTGATACCTTCTACCATACTGCAGTGTGGCAAAGGGGCCTTCGCCAAATATAGACTTTCTATTTGATAGTTCCCAGCCTCTCAGAAAATTTCTTTTCCCTATAATTTACCCTGACTGTAATATTCTGTTATAGCAGCAGAAAACAGACTACAGTATGCATTATATCAATAATGTGAAGAAAATCAGAAACTTCAGGCTTTTTCAAATCTATTGGCAAACACTATATTATAATACCATAATATTATTCCCAATTCTCTAGAGATTATTTGCTCCTTTATTCATTTAAGAAATATTCACTGAACACTGACTACACCCCAGGTACTATTTGAAGCATGGGAAACAGTGATGAACAAAATACCCAGGATCCCTGCCCTCCCTAAGCTTAAATTCTCATCACAGAGACAGATAATAAGCTGATAAGAAAATAAATATGTAATGTGTACAGCTGTGAAAACTGTTGTGAAGGAAACACTGTAGGCATGGGACGGAGAGTAGCAGTGGTACTGCCTTAGATGGAGTAATCACTGAAGACTTCTCTGAGGAGGCAGCCTTGGAGCAGAGGGAAGAAGGGAAGAGGAAGGGAAGAAGGGAGCCATGCGAACATCTGGGGGGAGATTGTTCCAGGCAGAGGCAATAGCAAGTGCAAAGGCCTTRAGGGTAGAATGTGCTGAGCTTATCCAAGGAATCCCGGGCTACAACAGCTCAGAAGAGATTCATAGAAAATGAGATTTGGGAGGTGTTTGAAGGCTAGATGGTGTAGGCCTTTGGGTTTGGGGGTCACGACTTTGTGTTTTTGTTCCCAAGGTGAAGGGTTATCCTGGAGAGTTTTGCTTAGGCCAGGACATGATCTAATTCAAGTTTTGAAATATCACTCTGGCTGCTATGCACACAACAGATCTTAGCAGGGGAAGAATGGAAGGAGGGATATTGCTAGGAGCCTAGTGATGGAGTCAAGTGGGAGAGGAAGGCAGCCTCAAGGCCCTGGTSGGACATTCTTTGCTGATAGATTGGACATGGGGGTCTGAGGGAAAGACGTCAAGGCTGACTCCCAAAGTTAGAGAGCTCTCTAAAAGAACCTGCAGGAAGATTTTTCCTCTAACTCTTGGGTCAAAATCAGGCATTTCAACGTGATCGCAATTATATTTCACCTTATTTTTTACTAAATGATTTCAAACTCTCAAGTTAAAATTCAAAAGAAATATAAGCATTTGACTGCAAGATCAATTTAATCAAAGGACACACCCAATATTTAAGATTATATCACTATTAACATCTTTTTTTAAAATATTTTTTTAGTTGTTGATAGTTTTTTTTTTTTAATTTATTTATAACGTGGTGCTGAGAATCGAACCCAGTGCTTCACACATATCAGGCAAGTGTGCTACCACTGAGCCCCAGCCCCAGCCCCAAGATTATATCACTATTAGATCTTTATACTTTAGTCAATCATCTACTTGTCTCTG